AAAAACCACTCCTCAATGTTTAAAGTCGACCAGACTGGCAATAATTTATATAAATAATTATTTGAAATACAACAACGTTTCGGCTGTCATTGCAGCCCTTTTCAAGTACATCAATTTTAAACAGTAAATCAACTTCTATGCAAACTACCGACAATGTTAACGCTTGTTTTGATGAACAATGCATTGTTCATCAAACAAGCGTTAACATTGTCGGTAGTTTGCATAGAAGTTGATTTACTGTTTAAAATTGATGTACTTGAAAAGGGCTGCAATGACAGCCGAAACGTTGTTGTATTTCAAATAATTATTTATAATAAATTATTGCCAGTCTGGTCGACTTTAAACATTGAGGAGTGGTTTTTTATTTAATTTATATATTGACTAAAAAATAAATATGACATTTCCTACCTCATTCACTAATTTATCATATTTATCTAATTCATTTATTTTTTTATTTATTTATAAAATACATTTTATAAATAAGTGAAATATTATACAGACAATTTATTACATAAATTTTTTTATAAATATAATAAATATTTATTATATATATTTTTATTTAATTATTTATATAATAATTATATTTTAATATATATTACGCACACGGATAAAAAATATTTTACATTTGCTGATAATATATAAAAATATAAAAGTAATGGAAATTAAATTTTACATTAATTTATACTAGTATTATGAGGTAGTTAATACATGAAAATCATATAAAGTGAATTCTGTACATCGATTAGCATAATATGATTACAAGTCAATAAATGATTTTGCTAATATATTATTTTGAATAAAAATTAAGAAAATATAAAAACAAAAAAATTGAAATTAATAATTTTCTTCATTCTTTGTTTTCTTCTTCTATTAATTATTTTTTCTATTATTTGAATAAAAGATGTATCGTGTGTAATAGATTAAATAGATAGATATTTATATAAATTTATAATTACGTTTTGAAATTTATATATACATATACATATATATATATATATATATTAATTTTAATATACATATATATAAATTATTATTTATCTATTACATACGATACGCCTTTTATTCAAATAATAGAAAAAATAATAGAAAAAAACAAAGAATGAATAAAATTTATTTATTTTATTTTTATTTGTTTTTATAAATTTTTATTCAAAATAATATATTAGCAAAATCATTTATTGCAACTTGTAATCATAATATCACGCTAATCGATGTACAGCATTCATCTTATAAGATTTCCATATGTGTTACTACCTCACAATACTATTATAAATAATGTGAATTTAATTTGCATTACTTTTATATTTTCATATATAATGAGCAGATGTAAAATATTTCTCATTCGTGTGCGTAATATATTGGTTTTTGTATTTATACTGATTTTACACATATCAAATGCAAGAGAGACAAAGATAGAATGATACTCTCTCCTTGTCAAGCTGTCAGTATGTTACCACGAAAATTTCCCCATGAGTATAGATCTGGTGAGATTTGTTCATCCCAGATATTACATAAAAAGAAGTTACGTAGCTTCGTGAAATATTTTTTAATATATTCTTTATATAATAAAGCAAGTCGGCAAAGAGTCGAATTTTGCATTATTACTCTTAAAAATTTATAATAAATTAAATACGATCTCGTGGCTAACCCAACCTTACCCGTTGCTAGCTGCGCATCTCCCCAAGTTATATTATGAATTTTATATTCATCTTTTTCCAAAAAATCAATCTTTGCCGCCCTGCGGACAATCCTACTGATTAAGAATATCGTAAATTTAAGAAGATTTATTAAGTATTTTGGCTAATATCTGGGATGAACGAATCCGTAATTCCCAGCCGGCCGATAGGCGTCTCCACCATGTCGCCTATCGACCCTTAAGAAATGCAATTGTATTTCTCAATATTACTATTATCAGAGAGAAGGATGAGAGCGGTCATCCCTTAGAACAATATATGTTCTAAGGGTCATCCCCTCGATTTAGCTGCAACCGGAATTCAAAGCGCCTCTATGTGCACAAAACGTGCACATTGAACTACGTAGCCATGTGCACGATGCTCCCGAGTGGTAACAGGCTATGTGCACGGTACGTGGTTCGATTCCGTGCTATGTGCACAGATGAGCGCCGGTAACACGTAGCTGTTAAAGGAGAAGAGTTCGAGACCTCGCAGGGCCAATTTTTTTTTTTTTTTAGTACGACTACATTTGTCAATTTAATGAAATCTTTTTAATTATTGTGGAATAAAGAGATAAAATGCATTTCTCAAGCGTACGCGAGAAAATCGAAATTAAAAATACTGAGTGCCGTATAAATACGTATGGAATAGAGCGTTATATCGAAGAGCGTGTGGCGTAGCGTTAAAGGGCTAGACACGTACCGTTGAGGTTAGAGGTTTGATTCTTAAGGAGTGACTTTTTTTTAATATTTTTTTATTTTAAATAAAATTTTGTTTTACCATAAAATGTAATTCTTACACAAAATAAATGTAAATAACACGATTTATTTACTTATAACACGTATATTACAAAAATGCATTTTTCTTTGCCTCAAAAAGCCGTGAAAAGCCGTCTGTAGAATAGCTGTATGCGATAGGAACTTGTATGATTATCTGTTTAATTAAAAATTATCCGATTTATATCGTGTTTGGTGTCGTTGAAATCGCAAAAATCTCAATAATCCATTAATATTATTTTTGAATAGATAAAATGCGAAATAAAGGTTTTAGTTTTTTACTTATAAGATGTTTATATTTGTGAATTGCCGTGGATGGGGAAGCCATTGTTTTATTGATTTATTGTTCGAGAGTTCGGAACGTTCTTTGATCTCGATACTCGGGCGCTCGGGCCCGCTTATCTTTTCGAGCTCATCTCACAACTCGTCGTGTGCGAGAGAGAAAGCGAGACCGCGAGTATAGAGCGAGTGAGAGGACCTATTATCAAAGAAAGTTTCGAAATCTCCATCCATGGCAAATTACAAATATAAACATCTTATAAGTCAAAAACTAAAACCTTTATTTTGCATTTTATCGATTTGAAAATAATATTAATGGATTAATAAGATTTTTGCGATTTCAACGACACCAAACACGATATAAATCGGATAACTTTTATAATTATATAAGTTCACATACCGCATTCTACAGACGGCGTTTCACGGCTTTTGAGGCAAAGAAAAATGTATTTTTATAATATACGTATCATAAATAAATAAATCGTGTTATTTACATTTATTTTGTGTAAGAATTACATTTTATGGTAAAAAAAATTTTATTTAAAATAAAAAAATACCACTCCTCGAGACTCGAATCTCCAATCTTCAATCTCGACGGTACCGTGCCTAGCCTTTTTACTTTTACTTTTAATAGAGCTTTATTCAGTTTGATTAATTTACATATTCAATAAATGAAAATCATTTAGCTGAAATGTTTGTTACAATATAAATTGAAGTTCCTGCCTTATGGCTTAACCTTCAGCTTCTTATAAATGTTACAAATATATGTTCGCCTTTGCTTAAATGTTATTTACAATATTTGTTTTTTTTTTTAAATAATTTGGTGATTATACAGGAAAATGCGTTTTATTAAAAATCTGCTTACGTTTTGTTGTTGGCTTATTTGCTCAAACCTATTTCTTTTACTTAAACAATATATAAATATACTATAAATAATAAATAATAAAAATACGTCAACTATGAATACATTCTGCGTCAGGTACATCGAGTTTTTCATACGCTAATTTATACAGCCATTTCTTTGGTCTAGTTGCTTTGTCGAGACACATTGTTTCTCTAACCAAATCAATTCCATTATTTATTTGTTCTGTGTAGAATCTTGAACCGATTTCGTCAATGTGGTTTTGTATTAGGCTTATATTTGAAAGTTCATGTAAGTTTTTGATTTTTTCATATCTGTCTTTGTTTAATATTAATCGCAGGCATTTCTTTTGATATAATTGTAACAGTTTAATATTTGTGGGTGCTGCCGAGCTCCAGACTGGAGCCGCATATAACAATATCGGTCTTAAGATTACTACATATATAAGTCTGTGCGAGAACCTTCGGTACGTTTTCTCCATATACAAAAGTTATTTATTTTATTTTGCGGATTCGTGGATACGGAACAGTTGGATAATGAGCGAGAGAAGCGGTTCTTTCTTTTCACAAGCTATTTATTAAATAGTTTATTAAACCCGGTCGGAGTAATAAATTAACAAATATACTCGCGATTTATATCACGCGCGACGCTCTCGTTCAATTAAAATAAAGAGTCCAACGCGGGATTCTTTTCGAAAGCGGATAAGGGAGCACCTTGCTCCGCTAATTCTCTGGACAGACTGACTCTCACCTTTTGAATTCGGTAACGAGGTCTTCGGATAGATCACAAATAAAGCGCGTGGCACGTACGTGCTCGACTCCGATTCGCTGGCGCTCGGGCCGAGTATCGAAAACATTGGAAGAAAACACGTGTTTTTCTTCCTCGAGCGCGTGATGTCGAAAATAATTTAAGAACCGTTAAGCAGAACGATATGTCTCGAAATGACCTTATTTTTCGCTTATATTTTTCTTAATATTTTGAACATACCGCCCGCCTCGCATGCGAACGGATGCGAAAGTAGTCAATTTTGACTTTGAGACGCGGATTACAAAGGTGATACAAAAGGTCTCGACAACCGAATAATAGAAGTTAACGATGAGAGCGCGAAAAAACACGATTATAAATTGAAAACAGAAATCTGATGCTATTATTCTAAAGACTTTCTTAACAATAGACTAGAAAGTTCTTTTGGTGAGTAAATACTGTTTGACGATCTCGAGTCCTCGAGCGCAAACCAGTACAACGATATAATCCACGGAGGATTGAATAACAAGGTTACAATATCTTGTTTGATAATCTTAAGGATGCAAATAATAATTCCTCAATATAATACATTTATTAGACTTAATATTAATTCTTAAATTTAAATTAAATTTACGACGCAAAGTTAGTTTGTTAACCAAAGTTCGATTACCTATCACTGTTAATCGGTAGTCTACACAGTAACGTGATAGGTCTCTTTAAAACGGAACGCGCGGTTCGCACTGTAACGACGCGCTCGAGTCCGTCAGATCCAGGATGGATTAGAGTTACTCGTCCGAGTTCCCATTTACTCGGAGGGAGCAAAGGGTTCTTTAACAATACTAACTCGCCTACGCGAAAACATGAAGTTTTTTCCGTCCATTTTTGACGCTGTTGCAGAGAGTGCAAATAATCTTGCGACCATGTACGCCAAAGTTGCTCGGTCATCGCTTGGATTAGTTGCCATCTCTGCAGTCGATTAGCGTTTATCGCGAGTACTGATTCCTCCGGTACCGCGATGATCGGTCGGCCGATCAAAAAATGACCCGGTGTGAGCGCGGACAAATCGCTCGGGTCGTCGCTGAGCGCCGCGATAGGTCGTGAGTTTAAACACGCCTCTATTTGACAGAGGAGGGTCGTGAATTCAGCCTGTGACAGGGTACGCGACCCGGCTACTCTCTTGAGGCGCGATTTGAAACTCTTCACGCCCGCTTCCCACAATCCACCAAAATGCGGAGCAGCAGAAGGAATAAACTTCCACTCAATGCGATCATTTGCAAGACAGTCGTGCAATGCCGGGTCTTTCATTAGAGCTTCGAATGTGCTCTTCATTTCCTTGTCCGCTCTCTGAAAATTCGTACCGTTGTCGCTATAAAGGCTTTTTGGTAAACCTCGGCGACTAACAAACCTACGAAAGGCGGAAAGAAATCCAGCACTTGAACAATCTTCAACCAGCTCCAAATGAATAGCCTTGGTTACTAGACAGATGAACAAGGCTACCCAATTTTTTCTCGCCTTCTGTCCTCTTCCTACGAACGGTGTGATGAGGAAGGGACCGGCGTAATCAACTCCCGTGTGAGTGAACGGTGGAGACTGATTAACACGAGGCGAGGGCAGATCACTCATGAGTTGATTTGATTGCTTAACGGAATAACGAGTGCAAACAATACACTGACGGATATGGCGTTTTACAGCGTTTCGACTTCCTAAAAGCCAATATCTTTGGCGAAGAGTGCGGAGCATTAATTGGACTCCTCCATGTAGAGTAATTTTATGTGTATGAGCTATAAGCAGAGATGCTATTCGACCCTGTGGAACAATGATGGGGTGTTGCTCACCATAGGCGAGAGCGGCATTCTTCAACCGCCCGTCGAGACGGAGCAATGCATCTTCCCCGAGGAAAGGACTAAAAGTTCTCAAGGAGCTCCTTTTGAGATGCTTTTATCTTTTCTTAAAGAATCAATTTCAGAGTCGAATGATCTCTTCTGAACGTAATTCAACCAAAACGTCTCGGCATCATTAAGCTCGTCAGCATTAAGTGCCGGAGAGACGCACGAAAATTTTCTTGTTTTCTTGAGCAAAGAAACAAATCGAAGAATGTAAGCTGTCACGCGGACGAGCTTCGTCCAGTTCGAGAATTTATAAACTAAATCCCATTCTTCTACACTTTCTACGTGAAGGACAGAAGATTGTCGAGTTTCAATTGCAATCTTGTGAATTGCATCGGAAGATAGCGGAACTGAGGCGTCATGAATCGGCCATGACGTAGAATGCTTCTGGAGCCAGGGTGGTCCAGTCCACCATAGTGGATGCGAAAGCAATTCGGACGCGGAAAGACCGCGTGACGTACAATCTGCAGGATTTTCTTTTGACGATACGTGATTCCATCGAGCCGACGGTAGATTATTTTGTACTTCAGATACACGGTTGGCTACATAAGTAGTCCACTTACAAGGGGACACTACACCCAGTACATCGAAAATCAGGATGCCAATTTTTTTGGTGATTCTAGAGGTCAAAAAAAGGTATACGTGTTTCGGGGTTTTGTCGAATGCTCCGTAGTTTTCGAGTAAAAATTTTTAAAAAATCGAAAAGTGCAGCAGCGATTAAGAGCTAACTCGTAGGTCGCAAGTTCGAGTCCGTGTCTTGTTACTATTTTTTTGTTTTATCTTGCTAGTTTTGAAAAAGTGTTGTTGTTTAAATATATTTATTTATTTATTTAATTAAATTATTACGTTAAAAAATTTTTTTTTTCAAATATTTTGTTTTTATATCTTATTTTTATTTAAATTATATTTGTCATTACACATTATATATATTTAAATATATTTAAACAACAACACTTTTTCAAAACTAGTAAGATAAAACAAAAAAAAGTAACAAGACACGGACTCGAACTTGCGACCTACGAGTTAGCTCTTAATCGCTGCTGCACTTTTCGATTTTTTAAAAATTTTTTACTCGAAAACTACGGAGCATTCGACAAAACGCCGAAACACGTATACCTTTTTTTGACCTCTAGAATCACCAAAAAAATTGGCATCCTGATTCTTGATGTACTGGGTGTAGTGTCCCCTTGTTAGATGGATGCTGGCGTATCCACGCCAACGCAATCGTGGAATCCGTCCAACAATGTATCTGAATTTGACGTAAATTAAGCGAATTTGTTGTCCATTTAACAAGTCGACTTAAAAGTACGACGGCATTTAATTCAAGTCTCGAAATACTAACAGTTTTTACCGGGGCGACCTTTGTCTTAGCCGCGATCAAACTGATCGTATAGTCGGAAAACGAATGAAAGACGCGCAAATAAACTACAGCGGCATAAGCCCGAGTTGACGCGTCTGCAAACCCGTGAATTTCGAGTGTTAAATTATCTGGAGTTTGACTGGTCCATCTCGGAATTTTGATTTTTGTCAATTCACTAAAATCCGATACGAAATTGCTCCACCGAAGTTTCAATTCGTCGGGTATGGGCGAGTCCCAATCGCAATGTACCATCCATAGTTCTTGTAAAAATATTTTAGCTTTAATTACGACCGGGGCGGCCCAACCGAGCGGGTCGTACAGTTTCGCGACGAATGAAAGAATTGATCGTTTGGTGGGCTCAATCGGGTTTATTGAATTTACGACGAGACGAAATGAATCTTCGGAAGGAAGCCACGAGAGTCCGAGGACTTTTAAAGATTCGTCTTGTAATACGAGATGATCAGTGACTTCCGGCTGATCGAGCGAGAGTTTGTCGAGAAGCTCGCTTGTATTAGACGCCCATTTTCGAAGCTGGAAGCCTCCTCCTCTCATTAATTTGATTAATTGAATACGCGTGTCTTAATGAATTTACATCGTCTGCTCCAAACAACGTGTCGTCGACGTAGATAGATTCATTTAAAATAGGAACCGCCGCGGGGTAATGAGCACCGTCGTCGAGAGCCAATTGCTTTAAAACGCGCATCGCGAGATACGGAGCCGGAGCCATGCCGTATGTCACTGTAAGCAGTCGAAAATGCTTTATCGAAGTGTCATCCGTCGGACGCCAAAGAATCCTTTGATAATCGACGTCTTGAGGATGCACGCGAATTTGGCGGAACATCTTCGCGATATCCGCCGTATACACATATCGTTATTTTCGCCATCGAGACAAGACGGCAGGAAGATCTTGCTGTAGTTTCGGCCCGGTGAATAAATGATCGTTCAACGTCGTGCCGTTTCGAATCTTGCACGAAGCGTTGAACACGACGCGTAATTTCGTGGTGCGACTATCTTCCCGCACCACTGGATGATGCGGGATGTAGACAGGCGAATTCTCCGTCTTTTCTGACTCATTGACTTGAGCCATATGTCCGAGTGACTCGTATTCCGCGAGGAATTCGTTATATTGCGAGCAGAGATCGGATTGATTTTTTAATCGATTTTCCATACGGTTATACAGAGACCGCGCTATTGGCAGAGAATCCCCGATGTCGATCGGCGGATCTCCCCTGAATGGCAGTCGAACAATGTATCGACCGTCGTGAGAACGACAATGCGTTTGTACGAAGTGTCGTTCGCATTTATCTTCCTCTTCAGTGAGGGGGGTGGTCGACGAAATCTCTTTGTCTTCCCAGAATTTCTGGAGAAGAGCATTTACGTCTCGGTGAGCCAAAACGCAATTTAAAACGGCAGCCTCCGCGGAGACCCGTTTTTTACTTCCGATAGGGCCGGAGAGAATCCAACCAAACGCGGTTAATTGAGCGGTGGGTGTGCCGGGCGGACCTTGTCTCAAATCGCGCCTCAACAGTAAACCGTAGATGTCTGCTCCGATAAGCAGATGAATTTGATGATGACTCGACGGATCCGGATCCGCGAGCGAAAGACTTCGTAAATGCGGCCATGAGTCGACGGGCTGAATCCGTGACGCAGCGTACGAGGTAATTTTTTGAAAGACATGCTGTCATAGGAAACGCAGGATTTGCTTTTGAGCAGGGCGTCAATTGCAATGACACGCGAGATTTTGCAGAGCCGGTATACTTTTCGCCGAAACCTTTAATCTGCAAGTCGGTTCTTTCTTTTTTGTACGAATAGTTTGACTTAATGCTTCCGAAATGAAGCTGAAATTCGATCCTTGATCTAGCAAGGCGCGTACTTTAAAACATCTGCCTTCGGCAGTGTGAATGTCAACCCACGCAGTCGCGAGAAGCACGGTCGGAGTCGTGACGTCCGGCAGTTTCACCGTTTGAACGCTAGCGACGGCCGCGTTATCGGAAACGCACGAAGAGTCGGTTTTTGATTTCGACGATACGCTCACCTTTTCTGATGTCGAACTTTTATTGACGTCCGGCCCTTGATAACTCGCGGAATGCAATAATGTATGATGGGGACGACGACATTGGGTGCATCGCTGTTTGCTTATGCATTTCGGCGACATGTGTCCCGATTTCAAACAATTAAAACAAATTTTATTTGTACGAGCAATTTCCATGCGTTGCGCTGCTGACTTTTGGCGAAATTCCTCGCACTTTGAAATGAAGTGATTTCCCGAACAGCAAATACATTTTAGAACTGCGATATTATTAACTGACGACCGTTGCTTGTCATATTTAACATTGCCGCTCTCTTTTGAAACGTCAGTGAAATCCGACAATCCGCGGATGCGCATTGTGAGAAAATCGTGAATGTCTTTATAAGACGGAATCGAATTCATAGTGGAACGTCTCAAGTTCCACTCGCTGCGTGTTCTCGCACTAAATTTTTGTGATATTATATACACCAGGAGATCATCCCAATGATCTACAGGTCTTTGCATGTTGTTTAACGCGGCAAGCGATGCAGCCACTGCGTCGCGCAATTTTCTTAATTCTGCCACGCTCTCGCGATTCATGACAGGTATGCTCATAAAAGCATGTAAATGCGAATGAATCAAAGTTAATTTGTCGTCGTATTCGTCGACTAAAAGTTGCCACGCGGAATCATAATTCGCGTCCGAAATTTTTAAATTATTGATTACTAACGCAGCGTCTCCAATGACACTCGTTTTTAGATAATGAAACTTCTGAGTATTAGTAAGTGCATAATTATTTGCAACGAGAGACTCAAACGTATTTTTAAAATTCTCCCAATCGGAGAATTTTCCCGAAAATTTCGGCAACGAAATCCGCGGCAACTGAAAATTATTATTACTATCGCGAAAGGAGGAATCAGTACTTCGATCAAGCGGAGGCGGCGTAACAACTGTTAATCTACTTATCGCATCACGAAGGACGTCGGCCGTCTCGTAGTAAGCTTCCTCAGCGACCAAAAATTCCTCATCGACGAAGTATGCCAAAGTCTTCTTTTCCTCGGGCGTAGTAGATTGCAGCAACTTGACGTGGAGTTCTCTGCAAGATGCCCAGAGGGACGTCAATTCGTCCAGTCGACCTTGAGTCCTTGGCAGCGTCACATTGGCCTTTGCCAATTTTTTAAAGTTCACGATCACTCGCTTTAGCTGAGCGATCGTGTCTATCTGCGCGATCAGCAGATCTTTCGCCTCCGACATTGTCACAAAAATTAACGGTGAATTTCACTAGCAAACGAGAATTCACAATACTTGTCGCGAGGGTTTCCTAGGCACTTGTAGCTGTGCCGTCGGAACGAAGTTTACGTGTCACCTTTTGTCGAAACGTGACGAACACTTGATTAACGCACCGTGCGAGTAACTACGCCGACGGTGGTTCGCGAACGATGTTGTATCGACGCGAAAGAATTATGTCCTCAGAGACTTCACGCAGAATACCGAGGCGCGAGAATAGTATAATGTGTAATTGTAAACAAAGAAGGGCTATAAGAGGTATTAAACATAACAAGTTGTCAATTAATATTAAAAAATATAACAAAACTTCATTTGAACGTAGCAAGAAATAAATAAGAAGTGATCATTTATTCGCATTTTAACGAAATAATATATACATAAGAAATACACATTAGAGCGAACGTTTCGGCTGACATTTCGAGCCTTCCTCAGCGCAATACAAATATTATATAAATTGAAGTGTAATATTGAACATTAAAGACGGCAATCAACGATGTCAAGATAATAAAAAGTCAGTTTTTTGTCTCATTACATATGTTTCTAAATAAGTCATCGCGTGTGACAAGTGCAAATTTTTGATACATACTGAGATCGAGCGACAGTGCCATGTAATCACTGTGTATAGGCCTCCTGATTTATTGGTCAAGGGAGATATCTTGATTGAATCGTCATATTGAAATGTTGTTAGACATTAAATGGAGATCTAAATAAATAATATTCAATTATTCACTATACTTTTGAAAAATAACATGCACTGTACACTCACTCAAATAAAATTGGCAATTATTTAATAGAAGTTACAAGTATCAGACGCGAGATCTCATAGACACAGTTATTTTCAAAAACAAAAGTTTACTAAAGACAGAACGTCTTTACCGTCTCAACTCCCAATCACAAATGAGGCAGTAACTCGGTGTTTCACCTTTATTATACATATCAAGGTCTGTTTGCAAACCCTGGCAATTTTGGTAAAGAATCTATAATATTATTGTATATATCAGGCAAAAATTCAGTGTCGTTTTGTAGATTCAATCCATTAGTTTGTCTTTTTATATATAACATTTCTGATATAAGTCTTTTATTGTAAAATGGTTCTTTATCTAAAATTATTACCTCATCCCAATCAAATTCATAAGAGAACTCTAATCTATGATCAGTAACAACTGATTTATTGGAACACTTTCTGTTAATATGTTTTTTATGTTCAGTTATCCTAGTATTCAGTTTTCTGCTAGTTTGACCTACATATGAGGCATCACAGTTTTTACAGTTAATTTTATAAACTACATTCGTATTCGCTCCTTTAGGTATTTTGTCTTTGTGTGTTTTAATAAATTTACCTAATTTATTCATGCTCATGTAGGAGAGTCTAGTATCGACTTTTTTTGTAATACCTATCAATTGTTCAGTAGCCTTTGGTAAGTAAGGCACAGTAAAAAACAAATGAGAATCCTTCGACTGATTTTGACTGTTGTTGTTAACATTACTTCTAGTATAAAAAGAGTTTTGAGTCTATCGTTAATAGTGTCAAAAATGAATTTTACCGGGTAATTATTATTTATTAAGATGTTAATAATCAATTCTATATTATCCTGGTGAAATGAAGGATGAAATAATAAAATTACCCTATCAATCAGACCGATGATCGTTCCTCTTTTTGATACATAGGGTGTTGTGAAAGAAAATTCAAGTATCTTCCAGAAAACGTCGGCTTTCTAAACCAATCACATGTAATTTTATTGTCTTTTGATATTAACTTGATGTCCAAAAAACTCAAACTATGGTTTTATTCTTAAGTATTCTTAAGTATAATGTGTGTCCCACACGAAAATGCCGGGCGCGTATTGCGACGCCGACGGCAATGAGTTCGCTAACGACGTTCTGTCGAAAAAGGCGATTCTGATTGTTTGTTGAGACTACACTGAGTTGACCGACGAGCGCCTTCGCCGACGGCAACTCTTTCGCGAATGATTTCGTGTCGAAGCGCGAAACCAAACTGTCTTTTAATCGGACTGCACAAATTATGCCGGGCACGATAGCTGAGCCGACGGCTAATCACTCGCGAACGACTCCGCGTCGAAGCGAGAAGCGAAAAAATGTCTTTAATTAGACTAAATTGATTTTGCCGGGCACTTTTCTACGATTCCGACGGCAACGAATTTCGCGAACAATCTGTCGTTGAAACGCGATTAATTGTCTCCGTTAACTTTGTACAAAAAGACCGGGGGCTTAACTGCGGCGCCGACGGTAATAAACTCGCGGCTGACTTGATTTCGGCGCACGAAAAGAGAATAGCGTAACGCAAGACTTTACTATCTTGTCTCACTGTACCGCACTGTACTTACTTCACGTAGTCATGAATACAACACAAAACTTGTGTTACGATTAGTCGACTTCACGACTCGAATCGGAGTCTGTCCTGATTTTTGAGAGCGAACGCGATACTGTTCTCAATCTCTTACGCGCACTTCACTGTTCGTATTGTTTAATTATCCGGCTCGAAGGACCATTTTTTATATGTGCGAGAACCTTCGGTACGTTTTCTCCACATACAAAAGTTATTTATTTTATTTTGCGGATTCGTGGATACGGAACAGTTGGATAATGAGCGAGAGAAGCGGTTCTTTCTTTTCACAAGCTATTTATTAAATAGTTTATTAAACCCGGTCGGAGTAATAAATTAACAAATATACTCGCGATTTATATCACGCGCGACGCTTTCGTTCAATTAAAATAAAGAGTCCAACGCGGGATTCTTTTCGAAAGCGGATAAGGGAGCACCTTGCTCCGCTAATTCTCTGGACAGACTGACTCTCACCTTTTGAATTCGGTAACGAGGTCTTCGGATAGATCACAAACAAAGCGCGTGGCACGTACGTGCTCGACTCCGATTCGCTGGCGCTCGGGCCGAGTATCGAAAACATTGGAAGAAAACACGTGTTTTTCTTCCTCGAGCGCGTGATGTCGAAAATAATTTAAGAACCGTTAAGCAGAACGATATGTCTCGAAATGACCTTATTTTTCGCTTATATTTTCTTAATATTTTGAACAAAGTCTTTTATTTGTAATACTTATTTTAGAGTTTTTAGCCATAAGTGAATATAATTGTTTCATAGTCCCATATGCTCTATGAATTGATTTGCTTATGTGAACTTTATATGTCAATCTACTGTCTAAGTGCATGCCGAGATATTTTACCGAACTTTTAATTTGAATTGGTTGTTTGTACAGTGTAATCGGTGTAAAAATTCGTGTGTTTTTGTATTTTTTGGTAAGAATAATTGCTTCTGCTTTATCTGTCTTGGGTGATATTTTCCATAATTTGTAATAATGTTCAAGAATATTTATATGTATTTGTATTTGTTTTGCCGCTACTACTGCGCTAAAAGAGTGTGCGTAAATTGCCGTGTCATTAGCGAACATTGCTAATTTGGTTTTAGGAAATTCTGGCATATTATTTAAAAATATATTAAATAATATCGGACCGAGAACTGAGCCTTGAGGTACACCTGCTCTTATTTTTTTGGTTCTAGATTTACTATTATTTATTGTTACTCTAAATGTTCTATTGTTTATATATGAATGTATTAGCTTGATCATATGAAACGGGTATTTCTGTTCCAGCATTTTATACATATAACAAACCATCCATCCAAACTTTATCAAAGGCTTTTTCTATATCTAAGAGTAACATCACCGTTACGTTGTCTTTATTGTAATTTACTCGTATGTCGTTTACTTTTCTTACTATTTGTTGTACTATGTTACGTTTTTTCCTAAAACCAAATTGATGCACGTTTGTGAGTTTGTTATTTTTGGCATGCTTTTGTAGTCTTATTAATATTATTTTTTCCACTACTTTGCTTAACGTGGCTAAGAGACTTATCGATCTGTAACTAATTGCACGTATGGTTCATCTGTAAACATAACAATTATTAATTTAAAAATATAACAATTATTAATTTAAATATATAATACAATATTATAATTTAGGAATAGTATATATATCGCTAGTGGTAAATATAAATTGGTAGAGTTAAATCGACGTAACTAGCCAGTTTATTTAATTAAATTCACAACGTTTCGACCATTTGGTTGTGGTCTTTATCAAGTGAAATACACTATAAACAAAAAGACAGTAGTTTTTACATTTAGAACGCATTTATAATAAATAATAATAAAATATAAATTAGAATTACAAAGGACGTACTTAATTAATAAACGATGTACTGATCAAATTGTACTTAAAAAGAATCTAATAAATTATCATAGTAATAAATATAAATAAGGAAAAAGAAGAAACACGTCTCATCAGTATGATGCTCAGTCAACAACTAAATTGACACAGTTAAAAAGACATCTATACGACCTTTATAATTTTATCATAAATATTTGTCAAATTTTCAGTGTCCCTTTGTAAGTTAATTGTGTTGTCATGCTTCTTAATTAAAAACATTTCAGCAATCTCTCTCTTTCTTATGTGTTTCTCGTTATGTAAAATGATTGGCGATGTCCACTTGATAAGGACCACAACCAAATGGTCGAAACGTTGTGAATTTAATTAAATAAACTGGCTAGTTACGTCGATTTAACTCTACCAAACAATATTATAAATTTTATTCTTACCGTCCCAATTTTCATACACAGGTACAGGATCCGGCTCGAACAGCCACACCAGACCCCAATCATATAAATCGCCGTCATCGTCTCTTAAATATGGGTCCCAATCCCAATCACACATATCTGGAACCATTATTGGAACGTAAACATAACGATTATTCATTTAAAAAATATAATACAATATTATAAATTTTATTCTTACCGTCCCATTCGTCATCCCCTATCCATTCTTCGAAGTCATCATCCGAATAATTCTCCCATTCTGCATCCCTTAATGTATCGTACACCAGGTCCTTGATCACCCAACAACAACAAATAATACACAGGGCAAACTACAAAAAATATTA